TGAAAGGTTCAATATAAAACTTCAGTTTGTTTTTGCTGAAAAACGTGCTATTTTAAAAAGAACGAAATAAGAAGTTACACTGCTTCATTTTTTATTCTTTCTTGGGTAACATTCAAATTATTTTTGTTTACTAAAATTGCTATTTCTCTTTATGCTAAGTATCTTCTATTCCCTTCTTTACAGTTTATTCTATCCTAGAGTCAGTTCTGAAAGCTAATTTGAAAAACAAAATAAGTAACCATCTTAGTTAAAGAATACATTCAAAATGATCTTCATAAATATTTTCATTAAGTCATAATTTAGATGATTAAACTTTAGCAAAGTAAACCTAAAATGATTTATGCTTTGTGTATGTATGTACTTGTGTGTATGTGTATATACAATTCAAATATATATATATATATATATATCATCATACAAACCAAGAGAAGAAACAGGCTATAATTCTCCCCTGTGGTGGGAACTTTTCAGTTGTATTTTAGACACATTAAAATCTGTTCACAAAGCTTTTATTCTGCAAACTGAGCAAAAGAGGTGGCTGTTCAGGAAGAGGTTATAAAAGTTGTTCTGCAGAGGTTTTTGGCTTCCGCACCTCTGAGATTATACTGTTTATTGCCAAGAAATGGTGTGTGAAAATCCCCTACTCTGGGCCACATGATGGCGCCTTTAGCTCTGTCAGCATTAACTATTCACCCCAATTAGATCTTTAAAATTATAATTTGCTTTTCAAAATTTGTCATTTCTTCTTAGATTGTAGATTTTACATCATAATTCCCTCCTTCAAAGACTTGTTAGAGTCTATGTTTAACCTAAGAGGATTTATAAATGCAAGCATATGCCTGTCTAAATGAGCATACTCTCTCAGAGCATCAAAACTATATGTGGTCTGTTTCTGGTCACCAAGTGGGTAAAAAAAATTTCGAACTCACAATGTGGGTCTCATTATACTGCATTATGACCCAAACCATTCTAGGTCAATGTTTTTTCTCTTACGGGGAATCAGGAGACATTCTGTGAGACGCATTGTTGTTCTCTGTGACTTAAGAGGTATACTCCAGGTATGTTTTCATACCTTAAAACTAAGAATTAAAAAGACTCCAAGGCTTCTTTTGACTTCAAAGTCTTGATGAAAAGTGTGGTGCTAAAGTTTATGAATTTGTCTAAACCGTTCTTAAATCATTTATACATCTCTATCCTTCAGATAGTGAATTTACTGTGGTATAAAGTAATACCTTATAAATTTTAAGGGATACTACTAGCTTTTAAATATTGTAAGATATATTAACTTAAATTAACATTCACTATAATGTAAGAAAAATCAAATTGATTTGATTTCCAAATGTAAAACTGAGGAGTCCCTAAAGAGGACAACTTCAAATTGTTCAGGACATACTCAAAAATATCCTTTCCCCTCTATAATTTAAAAACTTTGATCCAATCACTTATCACTCTGTTTTTATAAACTAAAGAGTACATATTACTAAAGCCGGTAACTTTTACATTAAATTTTTAAGTCAGACAGACTTTGTTACAAGATAGTAATAAAGTTTCTCTCATCTTATCCTGATAATTTTAATTTTCTTCACTTTTACAAATAAGACATTTCCTTACCTAGAAACCACTAATTATAGCAGCAGTAACTATAGACACACTGAAAAAAAAAAAAAAAAAGACATAACTGACTTAAAACTGTAAAGCATTAGAATTAAAAGGAACCAAGAAGCTAAATGCAACTTTCTACTTTTACAAATGAGGAAACTGAGGTCTAGTGATGATAAGTTCCTTTCCTATATTAAACAACTAAAAATATAAGCTAGATATAATACAACAGGGTTCTTAAAGCTATATATCAGGACCAATCAATTAAATAAGCTGCTATCAGCATTTTACAAAAGTAAAAAAGTAGAAAATAACAGAGGTATTGCATAAATCTTTTTTTCACCTATATGTATATATTAGGCCATGATAAAAATGAATTTATTATAGTGATCTAAAAGTTTGCAATTCATTACAATAAGATATCTAATTCTTTGAATGGATTTAAAATTTTAAAATTGATTATTAAAATTACTACTATAATGCAGTTCTTATAATTATTATGACTCACTGTAAGTCAATAAAATATTTGCATTAAATACTAAGTGCTACCATTTAAGAGATCATTTTTTCTCTTTAAAAAATTGATTCTGAACACTGTACCCCATACCATATGTGAAAAGACTTTAAAATATCTCTTTTCTGTAAAACTTATGTGTGCAATAGCTATACAAGCTTTTAAAAATAACAAATTCTAGAACTCTGATACTTGTTACACATTTAAAAAAAAGAAAACAGTCTCTGAAAAAACAGTGACCTCTAGTGGATTCAAGTGGATTCATTAAATAACACTGGCAGAATTCTTTCCCAGAATTATCCAGAAATTAAGGTAATGTTAATTCATCCAGATAGAAAAATACTGGTATGGTTATAAAACTGGTAAGTGCTATATGTAATTAAGGGCTATAGTTACACTATAAACAATGGGAAAAACGTATAAGATTTCAATTCTTCTAATCAAGTGGAATATAATAAATAGTGTTGGCCTCATTCAGAATCTGTCACTCTTAAGTATACTTAATCTTTCTGAGCTTGTTTAATGGAAGGTTGGATTAAATCTAAGGATCCTTTAGGATCTTTAAATATGGTTCTTATCTTGTATGCTAACCTAGTTTAAGTTTTGCTCAAAAACATTAGATGGCTCCTGAGAGCTTGACTGTACTTGACTGAGGATATATTGCTTCTTACTACTTGCCTAATATTATGATTTCTCCCAATACATAAGTAGTCCCCACTAACTGTGGAGAATTTATTCAAGTGCCCCACTCCCAGATGCATGAAACCATGAATAGTATCAAATCTTATATATACTGTGTTTTTCCCTGTATAGCTACGAAGTGACTAAGAGACCAGTAAGAAGTGTGTATGTATGAACAGTCTGGAAAAGGGATGCTTCATGTTCTAGGCAGAAGGGAACAAACTGGTGTGAGATTTTTATCATGCTAATCAGAATAGTGTGTATTTTAAAACTTATGAATTGTTTATTTCTGGAATTTTCCATGTAATATTTTCAGACTTCAATAGACCATAGGTAACTGAAACAACAGAAAGTGAAACCATGGATAAAAATTAAACTGAAAGAAATTAAAACAGGAAAAACAATGACATGTATATTCCTTAGTTCAAGTGAGCCAATGTTCAATACTCCAAGCCACTCTGATGAGGTTTTTCCCAATTTACAGTTTCTCATTAAGCAATGTCCTAACCTTGCTAATTTAGATTACATGTTCCCATTAAAGTTAGTAAAAACGTGTTTCAATCGTGTGTTTGTTCTGTCCTCTCAATTACTGTTAAAATTCTCAAGTTGGGTTTATCCTTGTATGCGTGGCCTGCCAGGTACAAAGCTCATACTGCACATTTTTAATGTAATTTGATTACTTTATGTTAGGGAAAATAAAAGACCATTTTCATCTTTCTTTTTTAGTGATGTGGGGAAAGGAGAACAAGTTAGGATTTCTAGAGTCACAAATATAAAGTGACCGAGTTTCAAGTTTTGGGAAAAAATAGACCTTTGAACATAGAATGGTAAGATTTTAAGAAAAGGTTAGAGGAAAACCTTTTAAATTAGCTTATACAAGTACCAATAACTATGTTTAAAAAAAATAGACATGGTGGTTTGGTAAATGGCTTTGAAGCAAACATAAGGATAACACAGAGGGTTAAATTTAATAAGAAGAAAAGGACTGTTTGTAAACAAAGGATAATTTAAGAAACATAGATCTTAGTGGGGAATGGAATATATGCTATTGTAGGGCTGAGGTAGTAATGAGCGTCTTTAGTGAAAGACATAATTAAAATGGGAAAAAGAAAGTGAAAAACAAAGTGCTTTTCTAGTTACCCTGGACAATACCACAATGTTTTATCCCCTAAATAAAGCTGAAGGTTGGTGGTGAAATGATGAATAATTTAGTCTTCATTATATACAATTCAATTAAGGTCAAAAAGTGTTATGTTTTACATATTCTAAGTCACAGAGTATTGGATTAGAAGGCAAAGGTGTCTGTCACTAAAGATACTGTTGTAACTATAAATGATGCTGGTTGAATTTAGAGTGGTGTCATGTCAGCTTCATCAGATGAGACTTTAAGGATGAGACATTAAGGATTTTCTCTTTGGGAGGAGGGACAAAACTCTTTAATTAACTGCATCTCATTATATTTAATGTATTTATTAGCATAGATCTTTACTGTCTTATCACAAATTATACTCTCTTTGACTGTTGCAACATTCTTTTCCAAATATAAATTATTTGGAATATTATTTATCTCTTTGAGCCTTTGTTTGGACTTTCTAGATAACATAGTTTAATTACTATGATAATTTTGTTATCTCTGTTACATTATCATGGCATTTCACTCTCAATATTCATTACCTAGTAAAATATTGCAAGTGTCTAAGTATTTATCAAGTGGTAAGACTCTTGCATTGACCATAAACTTCCTTGCAAAAATGACTTTAATAAACTTTCTTTAAATTTATGATACAATATACTAATTTTGACAAAGATTAAATGAGTTTTCAAAAAAATATGAACCTTAGTACATAGTTTCCTAACAACAAAACCTAGTATCTTCTGAAAAAATTTAATATTCTTAATTCAGGATTATTATAGTAACAAGATTCATAGACATTTCTGGCACGGCAGGAAGCCAGTTGAAGTTCTAGTTTTGTGAATAAAGCTAAAATAGCAAACAAAACAAGTAAATAACATCTGCATGTGTAAGTTTTCTGATTTTAAATGTAAAATCCTTAATAACTATGCTCAAAATATAACTATTTCATCACAATTAAAGCATGTAAAATCTTAACACTCTAGAGAAAGCCAGATCTACTTTCAGCTTATCTCAAAGAGCAGAAATTAGTACATATATGAACAAATGTGCATATATAATGATTTAAATTACCTCTCTTCTTCTCGAACCCATACTGGAGTTTTGGGAATTTGTGCTTCAAAAAACTTGGATGCTTTATAACAAAAATCGCTGCAAAAAGACTGAAAAAGACATTTTAAAACTAGTTATTTTTCTTATTATGAAATGTAACCTATATACAATAGAGTATAAGACATAAATGTGCAGTTTAAAGACTAAAACAAAACCCCACTAATCTTTGAACACCAACCTAAGGTAAGAAATAAGGTAAAGTGCCTTTGAAGGCTTCTATGGGCTCCACCCCATGGCCACCTATATTCCCTAAAAGTAAAAACTATCCTAATTTGATGTTAATCATTCCCTGTTTTTCTCTAATTTTTTTAAATATTTATTTTTTAGGTATAGATGGACACAACACAATGCCTTTATTTTTATGTGGTGCTGAGGATCGAACCCAGGCCCCGTCCGTGCTAAGCAAGAGCACTACTGCTGAGCCACAATTCCAGCCCCTTTCTCTAGTTTTTACCACCTACACCCATATCCCCATAAAGCATATTCAGTTTTGCCTCTTCTTAAACTTTAAGTGGAATAATGCTGTTACATATTCTTGTCTTCAGTTCAAAATCATGTTTCTAAGACTTATTCATGTAATTATAACATCCCATCTTTGCTACATTTGAGATTCCATTGTGTTAATATATTAAATTTTATTGTTTATAGACAATTGTTTCTAATTTTTTACAATCATTTCAATGTTAATATCAGCATTTTTATAATAAAAATTTTTCATTGTAATAAATACAATGTAAAATCTGCCATCTTATCCATTTTGTGTAGTTCATATTGTCATACAACCATCACCAGCATTAAGTTTTTTCATCTTACAAAACTGAACTCTATATGCATCAAATACTAATTCCCCATTTATTTTTTATTGATTTTTTAAAAATAAATGACAGTGGAATACATTCCCCTCCCACCCCCTCTGCTCTATCCAGAGTTCGTCTATTACACCCATGCCTCCCCTCCCTACCGGCATTTGTTTTTTTGGGGATTGGCTAACTTCACTTAGCATTATCTTCTCCAACTCCATCCACTTACCTGCAATTGCCATGATTTTATTCTCTTTTACTGCTGAGTAATATTCCACTATGTATATATACCACATTTTTTAATTAATTCATCTACTAAAGGGCATCTAGGTTGGTTCCACAATTTAGCTATTGTGAATTGTGCTGCTATAAACATTGATGTAGCTGTGTCCCTGTAGTAAATCCTTTGGGGATAGACCAAGAAGAGAAATAGCTGGGTCAAATGGTGGTTCCATTCCTAGTTTTCCAAGGAATCTCCATAGTGCTTTCCATACTGGTTGCACCAATTTGCAGTCCCACCAGCAATGTACGAGTGTACCTTTTTCCCTACATCCTCACCAACACTTATTGTCTGTCTTCATAATAGCCACCATCCTGACTGGAGTGAGATGATATCTTAGAGTAGTTTTGATTTGCATTTCTCTAATTGTGAGAGATGATGAAAATTTTTCAACATTTGTTGATTGATAGTATATCCTTTTCTGAGAAGTGTCTGCTCAGGTCTTTGACCCTTTTATTGGTTGGGTTATTTGTTTTTTTGGTGCTTAGCTTTTTGAGTTCTTTATATACCTTAGGAATTAGTGTTCTATCTGATGTATGAGTGGTAATAATTTGCTCTCAAGATGTAGGCTCTCTATTCACCTCACAGATTATTTCTTTTGCTGAGAAGAAACTTTTTAGTTTGAATCCATCCCATTTATTGATTCTTGGTTTTAATTCTTATGCTATAGGAGTCTTATTAAGGAAGTTGGGGCTTAATCCCACATGATGAAAATTAGGGCCTACTTTTTCTTCTATTAGACACAGAATCTCTGGTTTAATTCCTAGGTCCTTGATCCACTTTGAGTTCAGTTTTGTGCATGGTGAGAGATAGGGGTTTAATATCATTTTGTTGCATATGGATTTCCAGTTTTCACAGTACCATTTGTTGAAGAGGCTACCCTTTCTCCAATGCATGTTTTTTAGTGCATAAGATAATTGTAATTTTGTGGGTTAGTCTCTGTGTCCTCTATTCTATACCATTGGTCTACCAGTCTGTTTTGGTGCCAATACCATGCTGGTTTTATTACTATTGCTCTGTAGTATAGTTCAAGGTCTGGTATAGTGATGCCACCTGCTTCACTCTTCCTGCTAAGGATTTCTTTAGTTATTCTGAGTGTCTTATTTTTCCAGATGAATTTCATGATTGCTTTTTATATTTCTATAAGAAATGCCATTGGGATTTTGATTGGAATTGCATTAAATCTGTACAGTGCTTTTGGGAGTATGGTCATTTTAATAATATTAATTCTGCCTATCCAAGAGCAAGGTAAATCTTTCCATCTTCTAAGGTCTTCTTTGATTTCTTTCTGTAGGGTTCTATAGTTTTCATTGTACAGATTTTCACCTTTTTCATTAAGTTGATTCAGAAGCATTTTATTTTTTTTTAGGCTATTGTAAATGGGGTAGTTTTCCTCATTTCCCTTTCAGAGGATTTGTCACTGATATACAGAAATGCCTTTGATTTATGGGTGTTAATTTTATATCCTGCTATTTTGCTGAACTAATTCCTCATTTATCGATCACCATTCTGCTTCCTGTCTCTTGAATTTCATTACTCTAGATACCTAAGTGGAATCATAATATTTCCTTTTGTGCAGGCTTATTTCACTTAGCATAACATCCTCAAGGTTTATCCATATTATAGTATGCATCAAACTTTACTTCCTTTTTAAAGCTGAATAATATTCCATAATATGCATATGCCACATTTTGTTTTTCCCATTGTGAACATTCTTATACATATATATTATTAATAGTGCATATGGACAAAAACTTCTTTAAGGTATGTACAAAGGAATAGAAAGACTTGGTCATAAACAAAGTGCAAAGCTGGTAGGGATATAGCTTAGGGGTGAGTGCTTGTCTAGCATGCATGAGGCCCTGGGGATGCTATAGTGAAGTCAACTTTACCAGATAAATACCAAATTTTTATTACTACAAGCAACATAAAGAGTTTCAAATATTATCAGATTTTTAAAATTTTGCTACTTTTGGGATTGAAAAATGTAATTTGATGTGTTGCTATTTGCTATTTCCCTGATAACTAAAATGACTGAGCAAGATCTTTTTATATGTTCAATAGTCATTCAAGTTAATTGTACAACAGTCTTCTATTAATTTTGCTCTCTTTTTCTTATAGCTTATATATTCTCAGTGTGAATCTGTGGTCAGATTATATGTAGGAAACATAACTTCTTATTTGTGGCTTATCTTTTCACTTTTTGGAAATCCCTGATGGAAAAAATGTATGTCTGCCTTTCATATTTAAGTCTTTATTTCACCTGGTTTGTATATATTTTTCATTTTTTTATCTAGATAACTGTTAGTGCTATTTATGGAAAAAGCCGTCATTCCTTCACTGAACTATAATATTCCCACTGCCACATATCAAGTATCCACATTTGTGTTGAGTGTACTGGTTCTCTATTCTATGATTTACTTACCTTGAATTGTGCTACTACGTAGTTTTATTGTACACAATCTATATATAATTTGTGCCAATATATATTGAAGTCTTAATTAAAGCTTAAGCAAGGAATTGTTTTTAGTGCCTTGGTTGAAATATTTACAAATAAACTTTTAACATGGTTATTTTCTAACAGGCAAGATTATAAAGTTATTTTTAAATTCTAGTTTATATCATAATAAGAATTAACTACCACATTGAAAATAGCTATTGAACTTACCTTTCTTTCAGTAATATCATAGACTTTATTGGTTTTGGTAGAAATTTTATACTTCTGTTTTGGTACCTAAAGAAAAGAAAGCATAGCTTACAAAAAAAAAATTAACATGAACTTCGATTACAAATTTAAGTCATCTACCTATCATATTTTTGACTAAGCCATGACATCAGTTCATTACCTCAGGTTTCACTTTCTTTTCTTTCCATAGAGCATTTTGCTAAAAATCAGACAAAGGCTATAATTTTAAAACAGTTACTTACAATTCCCAGCTTCTTTTGACACAAAGGATAACCACAGAGTTTGATAATAGAACGCTCATCCACGACATCACTGTAGTGAGCAGGTGTGATGAACTTCCCCTGTAATGAAACCAGAGAGGCATTTTCTTCCAGATTAATGGAAAAGAAATTGATCTTTACTCATCAATCTAATCTAAAAATACAGGAGCAACAATAGTACTTACCTAATAAGTCTAAAATTAGAATTAGAGGAGAAAATAAAAAGCACTCAGAAGTGTTAATTTATAGTATACAATCAAAAAAATGTTAGTTATTATTAAAAAACAAAAACTTCCACCACTACAAAGTATAGGCATCTTTGTAGATTATACAGTTGACAAAATTATTTTGAGGCAGCAGGAAGAAGTGGTGCTATACCAACACTAAATGATAGTATCTTTTAAGCAAGTACTTTTTTAAAAAAAATAAACCACATGAAGTACTAGAACTATGTAATTTTATCTATTTTTAAGATAGGTAAAATATGTAACTCCTGCACAAATTTTTGTGCAAATGTTCCTGCTTTCGAAAAAACAATATAGAATGGTTAATAAGCTAACACCAAATATATTCATGCATAAATAACTTTAATTCTTGTTTTTAACTTTGAAAAAAATTTTTTCAGAAGTAGGGATTGAAGTCAGGAGTGCTCTCTACCACTGAGCTACATCCCCCGTCCCCTGCTTTTTTTATTTTGAGACTGGGTCTCAAATGGTTTTTATAGGGATTGAAATAGTCTTTACTGAGAGTGACATGTTTTTTTGTCTCAAATGAAACATTTCTGGTTTGTCTTTATTTTGTTCAGCATCATCATATATGCAGATTTTCATGTAGTTACCTATATTAATTTAAATATTGTCATGTTCATATTCTTGTTTTGGAAAAATCCCTGAACTACACTAAAAATTACTTTTGTAATAGAAACTTAATTTTTTTTCTATAATAGATTATGAGGATTTAAAGAAATTTCCATTAAAAGTTTTAATAAAGCTATTTAAAAATTTAATGCAAATTATTTTGTTTTAAGTCATAAATGATCTATATTTCAGGTCTTAAAGATATCAAAATGAATTACATTCACAAAAAATAATCTGTTACTTAAAATAGTACTATACACAGAATATCAGAAAATTGACATTGTGATCATTAGTCAAAGGGAAGAAAAAATCAAGTTATATCAGCAGACTGGTTAAAAGAACTATAACTAAGGATCAAAATGTACTTTTTTTTTCCTAAATGTTTTATTTTTAATTGACATAGTAATTATACATACTCATAGGATACAAATGTTTTAGAGCACATACACATTGTGGAATGAACAAATCAGGTTATAACACATCCATCATCTCACATAAGTCTTTGTAATGAGAAAATTTCAAATTCACTCTTTCAGCAACTTTAAAATATACATTAGTTTAACTATAGTAATCTTGCTATATACTTGCTATTTTTCATTAATGCATTTTAAAATCATTATATAATAATATTAGGATAGCTGGTTATTTAAAAATGCATGAATTATAAAAGCACATTACATGTATGTAATGACTGACATCAGATTTAAAGATTTCAACAATGCAAAGAAGTTTCATTTTGTATAGATTTGAAGATATTATACTATAAAACTAATAATTTGTTCACTTAACACATACACATTCCATTAGGAATTCGTCTGTAATATTCTCTTCTAAAAGTTGTTCAACAATATGTAGAGCTCTTCTCTCAAACTCAATCTTCTTTTTCACAGCTGCTTCTAGTTCTGTTTTCCTAAAAAATTAATGAGGTTAATCTCATAAAAAGTTTTTTCATGCTTATAATATTTCATGTTTTAAAATCCAACACTAACCTATTTTGCCAGTTTACATTCTTTAATGCGGTTACTTTTCAAAAAAGAAACAAACTATTTGTTGCACCATGTACACAGAAGTCAGCCATAAGGACTATTTCCCTGATAAAGAGCAAAAAAGAAGCATTTTAGAGACTCCTAAAGGAAAGAAAATAATGTGAATTTTTTCTGCCTGCTAGTTTATACTCTACCAATTTTAAGGTACACTCTATCCCACAGGTACCTTTAAAAAAAAAAAAAGGATTTTTCTCTGATAAAGAGCCAAATATCAGAAGACACTAGAAAGTAGATAATTTCTAAGTAGAAATTTGTGTTTTTGTTAAGTCTCAAAAATTAACTGATGGTCTGCCCAACTTGAAAGAAAAGTCACATCTGCAAAAAACTACTTATTCTTGTTGTGAGGTCTTGTTAAATAATTGTATTGATAGGAATGTATGGCTTAGGTAAAGAAAAGTCTTCCTGGGAGGGCTTGTTCTTGCTATCAGCAGGGCTCTGTCAGCCTTTGCTTGCCCCCATATATTACAGAACTCAAAAACACAGACTATCTAATCAAAAGATAGACCTATCAACAGTGATTCTCAGTCCCAGCTACACATTAGGATTGTCTGTGGAGATTTTTTAAAACGAGATACTAAAATGCTGCTCAGTTCCCACTGTAAGGTAATTAAATCAGAATCCCTGAGAATGGGGCCTGATTATTACTTTTCAACAGGGTTGAGTCACTGCCATAGAACCAAGGAGATCAACCTTCCTAGTGACTCATTTGTTCCTTTCTTGCACTGGTTTCTACTTACCTATCAGAACTACCTTTGCTGGCCTCCTGGTCCTTAATTCTTACAACTGGACCCAGAATGTCTTCATCCATTCTACTTTTCATTGACTTCCAAGACTTTTAGACTTTCATTCCCAGCAATGTTTTCCAGAAACAATCTGACAGTTTTGTCAACAACTTACTTTGTCAAATATGGACATTAAAACAAGAATTTTGTGACAACACTGATTCACACATCATTTCATAAAGATAATTTTTTCTTTTTTTGTTACCAAAGATTAAACCCAAGCGTGCTTAGCCACTGAGCCACATTCCAGATCATTTTATTTTGAGACAGGGTCTCACTAAGTTGTGTAGGGCCCTGCTAGGTTGCTGAGACTGGCTTTGAACTTGTAATCCTCCTGCCTCAGTTTCCCAAATCTCTGAGATTACAGGCATGTACCACTATGCCTTGCAACATCTTTTTTTATATTAAATAAGTACAAAAAAATTAAATGACAGGTATCTTTTATTGAACACATTTAGCTTCATGAAAAACTTATTTTAAAAAATTTTTCTCATTTTGCTGCCTACCAACAAAAGCCACATCCCGTACTAAGATCAGTATACATACAACCTGCATTAAGGAATTTCTGACTCAAGTCATAACCACCTCCACCTGAGCCATACTCCTCTTAATTGACAGATATCTAGAGCTGTTTCCTGTCTTATTGTGACCTTCTGTCACAAATGATAAGCAGTGTGGTGTGTAGAAGCAAATCTCAAACTTTTTGGTCTAAGAACTCCTTTACACTATTAAAATTAGAACTTTTGTATACATGCATTTTATGTGTCAACATTTACCACATTAGGATTCAAACTGAGAAAACTTAGAAGTATTTATTTATTAATTCCTTTATCAACCTATTACATGTTAAAAATGTTATCAACCTATTACATGTTAACATTTTTAAATGAAAAATTTTGTGAGATGAGTAGAACTGTTATATTTTTGCAAACCTCTTCAATGTCTGTCTTAATGGTATTTAGCTGGTTGAATGTAGAAGAATTTTTAAGTTGGAATAAATTTATTGAGGGGCACTCCTCTCAATGATTTGGTTATTCCCATGAATGCTTGTTTCATAACCCTCAGTGACCTACTCAAAATACATTTCAGCTGGGGCTGGGGATGTAGCTCATCAGTAGAATATTTGTCTGTCATGCAAGAGGCCCTGAGTTTGATCCCCAGTACTGCATCACAACAAAACAACCCAAAAAACATTTTGGCTTACCTATATTCTTCAAATTGTAAGGTCTGTGGTCAGATCAACATTGAGAAGAGTTGCAATTCACCACCATAATCAATATTAATTAAATTTTACTCTTGTAATGTTTCCTAAAGCCCAGTTAATATGGTGCTACTCTGCAGGGAACTATTTTCCAAAACAGATTTTGAATCCATCTAGTTTCTCCATTCTTAGATGATTCTCAGCCTGTTGTCTTCAACATTTACTTCATTAAGTTTTCCCATCTGCAACTAGACAACCTAATTTCTCACCATGACCTACCAGGTACTATGTGAAGAATTTTGCTTCTAACCTTTTCCTATGCTCCTTTTTTCCCTTGCCCAAATGCACACATCATCCCAGATCATCCCAGGCATCTTTTTTTTTTTTTTTTTTTTTTTGGTACTGAGGACTGAACTCAGAGGCACTCAACCACTGAGCCACATCCCCAGACACATTTTATATTTTATTCAGAGACAGGGCCTTACCCAGTTGCTTAGCGCCTTGCTTTTGCTGAGTCTGGCTTTCAACTTGAAGTCCTCCTGCCTCAGCCTTCCGAGCAAGCGAGCCACTAGGACTACAGGCATGCACCACTGAGCCCTGTGCCCCAGGCATCTTTTTTTGAAGTGGCTACTCTGTATGGTTAATGCAAGCTTAGCCTTCAGGTCTCAGTTTAATTATGACTTCCTCAGAGAGCTTTTCCTTGAAAACCCACAGCCAATCCCCATCTAAATTGAACTTCTGTAATTAGTTTCTCCTCATAACATTAATCTTTCTCTTCATAGCACATATCAAAATTTGTAATTATATATTTATTTGTGTTAGCTTAACTGATGTTTCTCTGTTCAAGTGGTTACAAGAACTGTGTCTATTTTGTTCAACACCATATCCTCAGGACCTAATGCAAGACTGGAATATCTTACAATCAGCAAATAACTTTAGGGAAAAAAATGAGTAAATTAAGATAAAAGTCAATACAGATTAGTGAGTTTTTATAAAGTGGAAGTCATAGATATATATCTTATCTCCATCATAGACTACTCCTATTCTAGAAATATTTTTGTGACATGAGCCTGAGACACTATCTCGCCTTTTTTTTCCCCCGACAGGGTGGTGGGGGGAAGACACTGGGGACTGAACTCAGGGGCACTTGACCACTGAGCCACTTGACCACTGAGCCACATCCCCAGACCTATTTTGTATTTTATATGGAGACAATGTCTCACTGAGTTGCTTATTGCCTTGCTTTTGCTGAGGCTGGCTTTGAACTCAAAAATCCTCCTGCCTTATGATTCCCCAGCTGCTGTGATTACAGGTGGGAGCCCCAGTCCCAGCACTGTCCTGTCTTTTTAGGAGCCAAAAGACAGTACAGGACAGCTTTTTGATGAAAATATGGACTTGATATAATTTAAAAAAAAAGTTTCTTGGAGTGATAATGAGAGAAACTTGGACAGTGAGTTTCTGGCTTATATACCAGTAAAAACAGACCTGAAGGGCTAGGGGTGTGGGTCAGCAGTAGAGGCGCTTGCACTTCGAGGCCCTGGGTCTAATCCTTAGCATTACATAAAAATAAATAAATCAATAAAATAAAGGTGTTGTGTCCAACCACAACTAAAAAATAAACATAAAAAAGAGACCAGAAGAGGTGGGAAAGGAGTATCTGTAAATTCAAGAACACTGTTCCCACAACATCTTTGTACAAATACACCTGTCTCAGAATGCCGGCAGTATCCAGTTTGGTTTTCTTAAAACCTAGAGTAGAGGGATGTAACAGCCTATAAGAGTTTATAGTGCTTACCAGATCTTCCTCTTCCCTCTCATGACACTTTTCTCCAAAATAAGTAGCTATTATTGTTTTTAAAATTGGTTCAATTAATATAACAGTGAATGCTCTTGTCTAAACAGTACTCACTTTTTAAACGCATCTTCTTGTTTCAAGACACTTGTCTCTTTAGTACCTACAATTTAAAAAAAAATAGGTCACCTTTTTTGTGTGTGTGTTGGGGATTGAACCCAAGAATGCTTTACCATTAACCTATATCTCCAGTCATTTTTATTTATTCTTTTAAATTTTGAAATAGGGTCTCACTAAATTGCCCAGGCTGGCCTCAAACTTGTGATCCCCCTGCCTCAGACTCTTGAGTCGCTGGGATTACAGCGCATCACACAGGTCAAGTCTACACAAACGGTAGGTAGAGATTCCTGTCCAAATAACAAACTATAGTCATCTTTTCTTCTTGTCCACATATTTCATTTCCAATGCTGTGTGTAAATCAAAATGAAATAGGGAGTACAATTTGTTTTTGTGCATTACTTTCCAATTTTTCTTTGTTAAAATGTATCTCTAGAGATTGAATTTTCTTATGTATCACAGTTGCTTCGTTAATTAAGTGCTTCCCCCAAATTCGAGAACTGAGTACTTTAAGAGGGAAACATCTTCACTTCCCAAATGTTTACTACTGGTGTAGCAGGGGAGTCCCTTACTCCCTGGAACTGGGCATGAAAGCTGTCTGAAAGGTCCAGTTGAGAGATCAAGGCCAGACGCACTGCCTGACAATGCTGAGGCTGCCCAGGTCATTTACTTGCTCCCTGGGGTTCCCCAACACCTCCCCGCACTTCCCCTCAGCGGGAAGTAGCCACAGCGCATGCTGGGAGAAATCCTGAAACATCTGCCAAGAGGCAAGGGGATCCCGGCGGGAAGTCGAAAAGACCGCGGTGGGAAGCTCTCGGCTTGCTCAACTCCAGGGTCCACCCCACCTTCCCTGGAGCGGCCTTTCGAGAGCGTTCCGCACGCCTCTGCCTGGAGCTAGGCCAGGGTCCAGCTCTCAGGAACCAAACATGGGAAGGGACCCTTCTTCCTACCTGCAGCTTTCCGGGAGGCGCGGGGACCCCGGGCCTTCTGGCCAGCTGAGCGCGGCCGACCCCACTCAGCCATGGGGAAGCTTCGTCAGGTCAGGGGCCGCCTCCGGCGTCCCCCGCCAAGCTCCGCCTCCAAACGCGTCGCACGGGCCGGGGCGGGCCCGGGGGCGGGGCCGGAGCGCGGCCTGCGGGGTCCAAAGTGGTGGCTGCTGCTTAAGCGCACCGCGAGGTCCGGCGGGTAAGTGACCACTCCGGGAGGTCTAAGGGGGTCCTGGCTAGCTGTGCGCGGCGAGCGATGGGGGAAGCGGCGCGGTGAGTGACTAGGCCCCGCGAGGTGGTGGGACCAGAACGCCTAGTACAGCAGGAGTCGGGAGAAATGGCTTCCTCTGGATGCCGCCTACAAGCGCGCTAGGGTGTTCTCCTCCTTAGAGGACCCGCAGAGCCGCACTTACTGCCGCATACTGGGGGCCGAGCCTTCTCGCCTCGAGAAACCGGTGTTCGGCGGTATCCGGATGGTGTTCTCCTGAGGACTGCCAATTGCCTTGTCTCGGTGTGATATGGCGGTTTCACTGACTGGAGTGATTTACTTTGGGGGAGTGCAGCTCCTACAGTGAAATGGGGTGGAGGGCGTTTGAACTTTCAGCCCCCTTTGGGTGACTTGTATTGAATTCCAGTTTTTGTCGTGGGACACTAAAAAATAAAAATTTCCCCAATGATTACGATTTTCATTTTAGGCCCAAGTTGTGGAAATTTTTTTTTTTTTTTTTTTTTCAGGAAAGAAATACTTTGCCTTTTAAAAGCATATTTGCATGTCCTCTAAGGAATGCTCCAGAGGGTTCTTTCTTTCAAAACTATGCTCTTAAAAAGATGCAATAGAGTTGTTTTTTTTTTCCAAAGCAAAATTACTTTCTTAAGTGAACATACTAACATTCACTAATAGTAAAACTTTACGTTTTCCTTATAATGTTTTCTAATAATTGAACAAAATGAAACAATATCAGTTAACTTTTTATATTAATTCATTTCAGCATCAAAACTAGAAATAATAATTAGGAATGGCTGTGGAGGAACTTCAGTCCATAATTAAAAGATGTGTAAGTAATTTTTTTCTTTTGTGTAAAATTTCTTTTAAAATATGGGAAGGACATCATTTTTAATTACTCTTGTGGTTACTCAGGTTACTTATCTTCTTTAATCCTTGCTTTTTTTGGCTGGTAAATAAATTGCATGAGGACAGGACAGCAGATTGGATTATTTGTACAGATGATATCCTTATCTAAATAACCTTTTTAATTTTGATGCTGATCCTTTTCATAGGATTCTTTGATATGTAGTAGATTTCAAAATCACTTAGTAATTATTATAATCCTAAATTTCAAACAATTTATCTAGGATTTAAACATTTCCCTTTTTACAAAGAAAGAAAATAAATTAAGAAGTTGTCATACTGAATTTTTATTTGCATATGCTTATTCTTTTGTTTATTTTGTTTTTTCAGCAAATTCTAGAAGAGCATGACTTTAAAGAAGAAGATTTTGGCCTGTTTCAGTTAGCAGGCCAGAGATGTATAGAAGAAGGGCACATGGACCAACTAATAGCAATTATTCAAAATGAAAAGAATAAAGTAAGTACAATCTTTGTGTTCACTTTTCAGATTCTACTTGAGAAGAGAATAATCACATGTTATTATTCATCCCTTTGTCCATCAAACATTTAAGAATAAACTTAATAACAAACTTAAATTTTCACTGTAGAAAATGGAAAAAGGGAACTAGGAATACTAATATACTTTAAAGTACTTACAGCGTGGTGGAAGAGATAAACAAAAAAACAACAACTAGCAATCGGGAGGCAGAATAAATGAAGCAAGTGCTGAAATATAAAGAACTTTAAAAGGAACAGGTTTAGGTGTTCAAAAAGTAACATTTGAATCATTAATTTACATTGAGAAATATAAATATCAAGCAAACTAGATACTCATATTTTGTGATCATCCTATTCCCCTTTGTGTCAGATATGCATAGAAAATCAAATTGTAAGTAAAATATTCCTGATCCACAAACAAGGTCCTTTCCCATTGTAGAGAATGATTTCTCAAACTATTAACAGTTAGGGCTGGGGTTGTGGCTCAGTGGTAGAGGGCTTCATGTGTTTTAAATCTTTGTGATTTTTTTTTCCCCAATTGCATTCTCAGAAGATAACCTTTGAGAGTACTTCACTTAGCCGCTAACAATAAAATCAGTAACAACTAATATTTAAGCTTGCTATTTTCCAGATGCTATCTATATACTTGACATCTATTAATTTATTAAGCTTCTTCATAAATCCCCAAAGATAGATACTACTATTAAATTCATTTTTTATATGTGTAGACTTGGGAGGCTAAGGTAGGAGGATCACTTGAGTGCCAAATTTAAGGGCAACCTGGGCAACATAGTGAGACCCTCATCTTTAAAAAATACTCATTTTATAAATAAGAAACAATTAACTGGGGTCCGAGGATGTGGCTCAAGCGGTAGCACACTCTCCTGGCATGCTTGTGGCCTGGGTTCTTTCCTCAGCACCACATACAAACAAAGATGTTGTGTCTGCCAAAAACTAAAAAATAAATAAATATTAAAAAAAAAAAAAAAAGAAACAATTAACTGAAAGATCAAATGACATGCCTCAAAGTAACTCAGCTTTTTTGTGACATTAGGATTCATATCTATTCTGGTTTTGGAGCTCTTAACCACTCTGCTTTACCTCTGGTTAACATTATATAGTACTTATGAGAAAATTTTAGGTAGAATAGAAGGGATTGAGTGATTATGGGAGTGAGGGAGATTGAGGCAGCAAGGATGACACATTTCTAGCCTCTGAAAGGACAATACAGGGTATGATATCCTGAACAGAAAAAGGCAACTTAAGTAAAGGAGAAAGTTTCCTGAAGGAAGTGAGTTGACTTTTGGAAATTTTAAGATGTAGCAGGCAATTAGAAAGTAAGGTTTTAAGCTCAGTAAAGAAACAAGAGATTTAGTTATTGTTTTGTTTAAAGATTAGGTAATTGAGGGGAGGGGAAGTATTTGCCTTAGACCACAGAAAAGTGGCAGAAGAAAAGAGGCCCAAGGAGCCCATCTTGAGGAACTTAAGGAACTGAGGAAGAGGCCTGCTAAAGAGGTGAGGATCAACATTCCATCAGTGAGGCAGAGGGAGAAGGGAATTTGTAACTGTCAATACATGCCTGAGTGATTGGGTGTTTTTTTTGTTTTTTTTCTCCTTTCCCTGCTTCCTCACTCCCTCTGGTTCCTTTTCTCTATTAATCTCCCTTTTATTTTCATGAGATTCCCACCCCTCAGTGGTTTATTTTTAATGTACTTCTGAATGGTTAATGGGATAGATTCAAACATAGTGAAGCTTAGTCTTTTTTTTTTTTTTTTTAAGAAAAGCTCCTTTGAGAGATTGTGGGGAATTGGAGGAATATAGTCTGGACAATAGGCAGCGCCCAGGGAAATGGACCTCAGAAAATATGATGCTTCATATCAGTTCCTAGCGAGTTTCTACCAGCAGATGGTTTGTGGGCGCTCACCAAGAGAACCGTGAAAAATTTAATGATACAAGTGAAAAAACCAACAGCGTCTGGAACAGTGGTAGAGTGAGTGGATTAGGAAACTAGAGTGGGGTTTGCAGGCAGCATTAATGGCCTTCTTGAAGGTGATGATCAGGAATTCAAGTGAGACATGTGCATTGTGTTTTGTTGCAGAGACAATTAGCTACCCATTTAGGACTGGATGGGTGGGTGAAGGAACAGCAGGCAAAAAGTTGGATTTAACCATGTTATCAAGATGAGCCAGAAGGGTTGGTAGTAATCCCAACTCCCCAAGGCTAGGTAAGAGCAGGGCTATAACTATGACTATGCAATTGGTGCTGCACATAGCACAGAGTGACTACAGTGGTTTCCCATGGTATCGTAGATGGGGAGGGGCTGGAGTTGTGGCTCAGTGGTAGAGTATTTGCCTAGCATGTGTGAGGTATCGGGTTCAATCCTTAGCACCACAAAAAAATAAATAAATAAAAAGAAAAAAAAGAAAAGCTCCAAAGATCTGAGTTTTTTTTTTTTTTTTTTTAAGAGAGAGAGAGAGAGTTTTAATATTTATTGTTTAGTTTTCTGCGGACACAACATCTTTGTTTGTATGTGGTGCTGAGGATCGAACCCGGGCCACACGCATGCCAGGCGAGCACGCTACCACTTGAGCCACATCCCAAGCCCGAAGCTTAGTCTTAATAGTTTGAGAATCACAGAGATTCAGATTTTGACAAGGTAATGTTTAAAACTGACTACAACTTAATATTTTTGCAAGGTGACACTATAAGGGATTCATCAAGATTTATTATTAGCTGTAATCTTAGAGACTTAGAAGGCTGAAGCAGGAGGATCCCAAGTTTGAGGCCATCCTAAGCAACTTGGCAAGACTCTGTTGTAAAATAAAAAGAACTAGAGATGTGTAGCTCAGTGGTAAAGTGTCCCCTGGGCTCAATGCCCAGTACAAAAAAGAAAAAGATTTACTATTAATCTGTGTTAAATATTAAAATATTAAATAGGGAAGTGGTCCTAAGACAGTATAGTTTAGAATTTTACCATTATTGACATTTTGAACAGGATTGTTCTCTATTTTGAGGGATTCTCTTGTGTATTGCAAAATGTTTGGAACAACCCTAGGTTGCCTGTGAGATACTAGTAGCTTCCCTACCTGCCTCCTTCAGTAATGACAATCAAAAAGTGTCTGCAGATCTTGTCAAATGTCCCCTGGGAGGTATAGTGCAAAATTGCCCACAGTGGAGAACTAGCAGTATAGGAGGAAATGCATAAGCTTGGGACCTGTAGAGTTGTCTGATATTGGGTCTGTCATTAATGTCTAAACTTTGGCATTCTCATCTAAATTAGGAGTCACAGTCTTATTCCATATGATTGTTAGTACTAAATTAAACAAAGGGTAGTATACGTTAACCACAGTCAGGATTTAGTCCAATTCCTTATAATTATTTACCATCTTTCCTTAACCCTAACTAAAGCCATGAGACATTATTTAGTGACTGGGTTATCCTGTAG